TATAAAAATTAGATGTTTTGTCTGCTTTTCAAAGATGATCCAGCCAGCCTATATATTACAAAATAAATACCCAGCTAAAAGTACAGGATGACTGGAAAATGCTTCCCATCTTTGTTTGCTATTCTTATTTATGTCATTAATACCGGGAGTTGGAATAACAGGATAGTTGTGGCTGGCACGGGAGAGAAAGGCTCAGTCCTGGGACTCCAGGGGCTGAAGCAGTGTAAAGCTGTCAGAAAGCTGTGCTAGAGAGGCAGCCAAGGTTCACAGAGCAATTCTTGGGTAACACAAAAATGCCGCAGCCAGCTGTACACATCTACTTCCACCATTGGCATGGCCTGCCCCAGCCAGCGGGAGCTCTCCGCTCCCAGCCCGGAGGTTTGGGCAGGGAGACTGGCGGGGGCAGAGAGGGGGTTGGGCTGAAAAACGGTGTAACAGTCTGGCAGCAGCTTACAGTGTGGACACAATTTAGGGGCTAGTAAAAGGAGTAAGAATCTGGAGCAAGTTTACAGCATAGCCAGGGAGAGCAGGGGCCAGCACGGGTGGGGAGAGGGGACAGCGTGTGTCTCTCTCGCTCTCGCAGGGCTCCGAAGCTTCATTCCCAGTTCTCAGCCCAGCACCCTGCCAGACTTTTATAAGGCGACGTCAGCACAAGTGCAGCACGTTCACTTCCTGGCGCCTTTCTCTGAGCCTCCCCTGCCAGCGTCTGGGCCACGTGGGGAAGAGGAATGGAAAGATGCCGTAAGTCACTCCCAGACTTCCGTCGATGGCTTGGAGGAATCCAGACCGGCCAGAATCCAGACGTGCCAGGTGGTCCCAGACTCCGAAATAAACGTAGGCAGATGCGTTTTCCTGCGGGAGGCAGGGGCTGGTCCTCTGCAGATCCCGTCAGGCAGGAGGCGGGCGGGGAGGCCTGGCTTGGCCGGAGGCAGCAGAGGAGGATGAATTTGCAGCGGCGCTATGCTAAGGGCGTCTCTTCGGGCGCCGTGGCCCTTTGCGGCGCTGGCATCAGGCTGAGAGGGCGGCGGCAGGGCTGGGGGGCCGGGCGCACAAGCTGCCTGGCTGCGGGGCAGAGAGCTGGTTTCCCGTAAAAATCGCGTGGTTGGTTTTCCAAACTGCAAACGCACCAGCCTCTGGGTCTGATGGAAACTGAGGCCTGGCCTGAGGACGGAATCAAGAGCTCGGGGCACGTCCGGTGAAGAGGGGGCCTGCAAATCTCTATCTGGACATCCCATGCCACAGGCCTCCCTTCCAGCCATCAAGGACTGTGCTCAGGCTGGGTCATGCTGCTGGGCCTGGTTGCACCCCAGAGCTGGCTGCCTTGCAGGGGTGTTTCATGCAATCCTGGCAGTGTTCATTAAGCGCTCCCGCAGGCTCTCTGGGCTGACCAGGTGCCATCTGTAAACTGAGCCTCACGGCCTCATTCCCTCCCGCTCCAGCCAGGGGTGGCTCCTGGGGGGCCTTGGCTGCCACCACCTCCCTAGCTACCAACCACAGACCCCTAGAACGGGAAGGGACCTCGCGGGGTCATCGAGTCCAGTCCCCTGCCCTCACGGCAGGACCAAGCACTGTCTAGATCATCCCTGACAGGCGTCTGTCCAACCTGCTCTTCAATATCCCCAGCGATGGAGATTCCACAACCTCCCTGGGCAACTTATTCCAGTGTTTCACCACCCTGACAGGTAGGAACTTTTTCCTAATGTCCAACCTAAACCTCCCTTGCTGCAGTTTAAGCCCCTTGCTGCTTGTCCTGTCCTCAGAGGCCAAGGGGAACAATTTCTCTCCCTCCCCCTGGTGACCCCCTTTTAGGTGCTTGAAAGCCGCGCTCCTGTCCCCGCTCAGGCTGCTCTTTTCCAAACTAAGCCCGGTTCTTTCAGCCTCCCCTCCTAGCTCCTGTCTTCCAGGCCCTTCACCCGTTCTGTGGCTGCTTCTCCAGCTTCTCCACTTCCTGAAGGGCGGGGCCCAGACCTGGACACGCGTCTCCGGCTGAGGCCGTGTCGGCGCAGAGCGCAGCGGGAGAAGCTCCCCACGCGCCCGTGAACGCGGCCAGAAGCAGGTTTGCTTTCCGTGCGGTGGGGGAACGGAGCCGACACCCCCCGTGGAGTGCGGGGCCTAGCCCAGTCCGCAGCAAGTGCGCTTTGCTGGGAGGGTTTGCTCGCCTGCACTGGTAGGACCCTCCCCCTCTCCTTTCCCAGCCCGGCCCCTCCCCGCTGTGGGGCCAGCCCCACCCGTCAGGGAAGGGGCAAGCAGGAGGGGTTCCCCAGGGCTGGGCAGGGGCA